AAAGGATTCATCATCTGTGATTGAACAGTTGCCAGTGGGGTCTCCATCCTCAGGAACACCTCAGGATACTGACTTTGATATTTTATATGCAAGACGCAACAGAGAGTGTCTCTGACATCACCCATGGAACAGCAAGAGATACATCTTCAGAACAGCTTTTACATGAACAGGGAAGGAGAAATGTTATATTCATTGAGACTCAATTTCTTTTTAAATAGTGTCTGACATTTATTGAAAATAAGAAAGACTTTTCTCCAAGTAGTGCTGAGTTGGGGAGATATAAGTTATATTGTTGGCCAACAAACACATAACTAAGAAAATAAGAGAACTGGATTCTGGGTGAAACTAAGGGTCCACAGGAGACAATGAGTGACTCGGTTTGACTTCCAGGCAGCCCTGGGACCTGGCGGTCACACCCAGCAGGAACAAAAGATGTCTCTTGGATAGGGAGGACCTGGGTCCCATCACAGGTGAAAGGCTGGCCGGCCCCTCCAGGACGGTGGCGAGCTGTTGGAATCCTTGTTTGTCCAGAGGCTGTGGCCAGCTCAGACACCTCCCGGGTAAGTCCAGATCGCCGAAGGCTGCAGGCTGCAGGCGGGATGCGGTGTACGGTGATGGCCGCCACAGCACAGGTCTCTGGCCACCCGGAGGCGGGCCTGGGAGTCTGGCAGGGGGCGGGCAGTTGGCAGCGGCCGGGTGTGGGTGGTCTACCCAGTGGGTAACAGGAGCCCGGCTTGCAGCTGGAGAGCAGGACCGAGTTCAAGTGTGCAAGGAAGAGGCCTGGCTGGCGCGAGGGCGGCGGCCGCTTCAGGGCCGGGCCTGATGGCTGCAGCAGCGGGAACCTGGAGCGCTATTCCTGGAACAAAGGCAAGCACTACGCGGGAAGGGACACGAGCACGGGGGAGATCGCGGCCACCCGAAGGTGGGGGGGGACACGGCGGGAGGACGCCTGTGGCGATCTGGGAGGCGGCGACTGGCGCGGCGGACCCTCCCCCGAGCACCCGCCCCCAGACCCGAGGCGCTCCAGGCCTAGAAGTCCTCGTCCTCCACCCATCCAAACACCCGCTTCATCTCGGCCAGGAAGCCCCGGTAATCGTTGAGGAGGGGGCTCTGCTTCCTGATATAGGGGATCACCCACTGCAGGGCTGGCCCAGTCATGCGGGTGATGAGGAATGTCACCTTCAGGGCATCATTGGTGAACAGATTCTCGTCCACTAGCATGTAGGCGCCCGTCTGCACGATAAACTCCGGCAGCCGGTCGGTGTCGCCATCAAACGTCTCGGGGAAGGGGATCGGGTTCCTCCACCGACGTGTCTGGGGCCGAATGGGCAGGGCCAGGAGGGCCTTGATCAGCTGCACTCGGCCATCCATCGCGCCTGGCTCGCTTTTCTGGGCTTGGCGAGGTTCAGCTAGGGTCGGCAAGAAGGCGTGGCGGGAAGTGCGTAGTGTGGAGGAGGGCCGGGAGTGGGTTGGGGCATGGGCGGTGCCTGGCGCCGCGGGGCTCCGCCCACAAGGCCCGGCTCTTGCTATGGCGCAGGCGCGACAGTGGGGCCGAGTTGGGCGGGTCGGGAGTAGCGGAAGAAAGCGAGGCTAATACTCGCTCTAGGAGGCGGGGTCAGATTATAAGGGGCTGGGCTAAATTTTCCTAAGGCGGTACTCAAGTGAGGGGCGGGAGCCGCAGGAGTAGTCCAGGCAGAGCTCGCAGCACTTGGAGATGCCAGGAATGGCCTCCCTGGAGTAGAGAAGCAGGCCTGGTGCCCACTCTCTCCGTGGGCTCCTCACTTGTCTTTCTGAGTTTCTTGTAAGACCCTCGGCTTCTGGACGCCCCTTGCCTAAGATTCTGTTGTGAACACATTTTCCTGCTTATTCATACATATCTCAGCCAGAGATTATTGGCACCCATGCTGCGGATGTGGCTGTTGCCATATTAATGTGAAATCCCCAAATATTAGCTAACACAAATTAAAGCAGCATATTCATAGAATGATGTACCATGACCAGGGAATGTAAGGAAGTTTTAACGTTAAGAAATCTTCTAATTTGCTATATTAAAAGACCAAAAGAGACTAATCAGTAGAGAAAGGCAAATGTGAGAGGGATGGATGCTTCCCAAATTGATTTTATACATGTTCAATGTAAGAATAAAGGAAATGAAAAACTAATAAGAGTTTTACCAAATAGGAAAGGGGGAGAGGAATTTAACCATTACCTGTTATATCTGAATTCCATGTTGTGACTGAGTATAAAATTAATATAAATTTATCACCAGCTTCCATATATAAATAAAATAGCCAGTTAAAATACATAATGGTAGAAGACCCTATTCAGTAAAGCAATTCAAAGCAAATAGTGACTAGGAATGTATTTTTAAAGTGCAAAAACCACATGAAAAATGTTTTAAATGCTAAAGAGGGGTGCAAAGAATACTAAAAAAAAAAATGGAATGATATCCCCAGAGACAGGTTGACTCAGTGTCATAAAGTTGTTAAATTTCCCTGAGTTAAATTATACTTCCAACACACGACTAGTAATGGGATCTTGTCCTGAGGCAATATTGTGTTTAATCAAATACAGGCACTATTTTTCCCTCCAGCATCATCCTACCAAAATACCAAGAGGATTTTGTTTTGATTAGATGAACTGATTTTAAGATTCATGTGGAAGAGTAAACAATGAAAAGTGGTATGAAAAATTTTGAAACATAAGGTCAGTGATGGATGGCTTGCTTCAACAGATAATCACAAATCCATGATTATTTATTGGTATATTTTCATTGTCTTTTTCTCCTGACTAAAATATAAGATGCTGGCAACCTCAGGTAGCCATGATGTGAAAAAATTGCCTCTGATTTTTTTTAAGTAAATGCCTTGAGGATAGGGCTTTCCCATAGCTAGCTCCCACTTAGGTGAAATAAACACTGTCCTGAAAATGGAAATTTTTCAGGGAGCTACAATGTCACACTTTGAAGAAAGTCTCAACTGTCCTGGAGGTAACAAGCTTCTATGAGAATCTTATCCTACCTACTTTCTCCCAACCCACCTCCTCCCAAACTCAGACACCTCTCCTTACTGCTCCAGCCATTCCACCCTCCTGTTCTTAAATACACAAGCTCATTTACTGAGACACATTCTTTTCTCAGACTGGACAATAAAAAGACAAGGGCCCATGTGGCAGTTGAGGTGAGGAGGTTTGTTCAGGAGTTCTCTGGGTTGAAAGAAAAGCTAAGTGTGAAGAGGCCTTAAGCTGCTTGGGGAAAGGTTTTGCCAACAGCAAGAAAACCAAGAGTATCAAAGTACAGGGAAGATTTAGATAACGAAATCCCATTTTTTAAATTTGGTCAAATTCATCTTCAGAAGGACTGTGCAGATTTCAATCTCCTTTATTTTTTTTTTCAAATGAGATAATTTTATTGAAGAAAATTTTAGATAGAGTGTTTCACCAAAAAAAATTTTGTTTGAAGTAAAATGTGCCACAACTTTTATATGGCTTGTGTGTATTAGTTCATGTCATATACTCACTATACCACCGCCACAGCTATTCAAAACTCCTAAGGGCTTCTCAGAACCCCAGCACTGCAATGAACACAATACTAAATAGCCACTCTGCTAAAACCTGGGTGGAGACTCTGGAGTACACAGCGCCCCAGCCAATCAGGTCAATACTACTTCTGTTCAAATGCTTCCAGTACTTTCTGTGTGCTCATCATTTAACCATCTCAAAAGAGGAAGGCATCGCCACCCTGAGATGATCCACTCAGCCCATAGATGTCTGCTGACTGGCACGTCTGTCCTCCCTTCAGTAATGTTCTCAGGCTGTGGAGAAGATCAGAAAGCAGCAATGCAGTTGCCACCTCCTTAATGTTCCGATAAACACGGCTCAGACACGAGCTCCTGAACCCCAGAGAGGCAGAGTAGGGCCTCAGACATCCTACAAGGTCAGAGATCCGTCAGGTCTTTCAGCATCTGGTGAGGCAGCAAGAACTAGAGTGGGGCTTCTCCAAGGGTCCTGCAGCAGCGCAACCTGGGAGTTTAGTGGAAACGCAAATTCTTGAACCCCGCCCTTCCTGCTGGGCAGGGCCCAGCAACCTGCACTTTCGGGAGTCTTTTGGTGACCATGTTGCACGCCCAGGTTTGAGAAGGACTGGACTAGAGCTGGTGTGTCCACAGAAACCACTCGGATCCAGTGCCGCAGTTGTCAGCAGTGTGAGAAGGTCACCCCGTTTCTCAGGAACAGACAGGGTCCTTTCAGGTTAAGAGGAGCACCATCCTTCACCTGACCTGAGTCAGGGTTCCCCTGCCAGCCAGCCAAGGGCTCATACCAAGTCCACACAGACCACAGAGCCAGACAAGTGTCACCCCAAGCTCTCAAGGGTTCTGAGCAAAGCCCCCCTTCTCTGGTACAAAGATTCACATACTTGCCTTTTTTCTCTGAAATTTACAAAATCTCTGATAGTTACGGGATTCAAAGATGGTGCTTATACTTAAAGGCGCCTTTCCTTCCAAGTTACACATTTGGGGCTTTTAGGTCTTTGGGGGCCAAGCAGAACCAATTGCGGTTTTCTCTCTTAAGTGTCTCCACACAGCTGGGGAGATTTCAGAATATCAGTAGAAGGCAAAAGGCACATTTCCAGTAGTAACTCCAAGAGTCAGGGTCAGTCAAACTTAAAAGAAAGGGCTGCAGAAGGTGGGAAGATGTAAATGTGGAGAAAAAGAGGATGAAGAGTTTGGTGAAAGAGAGAGGAAAGAGGGACCAGGGCTGATTTATCTCCTTCTCCCTGTAAATTCCATGGACAGAGGAGCTGGTGGGCTACAGTCCATGGGGTCAAAGAGTCGGAAATGACTTCAGGACTAGGCATGAGCACCCTGCACCGGGACCACTGACCCTTCATTCCTTTGAGCCACTGTTCCCTAGCAAGGTCAGAGCAGGGCTGACCACCCTGGTCTCCATCGGTGTCTGTGGCTAGTTCAAGTCAGACAAGAGTCAGACTGCTGTGGAGAAAATGGTAGTAACAAAATATTTATTACTTTTCCAGAAAAAGATAAGAAAAGGAAACTGTGGTCAAAAGAGGGACCCATGAGCAAATGCAATGCTTTTTGTCATGTCTACTTTAAAAAACAAAACCCCTTTGGGCAAAAGAAAACTCGTGAAAGCTAGAACTGCCCTTCGACAGCAAGGTTCAATTCCAACCCAGATTTATAATAACTTTAAAAAGTTCTATCAATTCCACCACACTGCGCGGGAATTACCGCACACTTTCACCCCCCAGCCCCTTAACTTCTGAAAAACCAAACTGGCTCGCTCACTCATACCTGGGTTTAGCTGAGGAAGTAAAATGCGTTTATCATTATCTACCACAGAAAAGCACACTCAGTTTGCACCTCAGATTGTCTTCAGTGAAGTCTATTTTCCTTGCAACGGTGGCATAATCCTGCTTCCTCTTCCCCGGGTTCTGTTCTCTGCAGGATAGACGGGCTGGGAAACGCTCTCGCTTAAGTCTTGCCTTTCCCCTTCTTTGCCTTGGCGGCGCCCGGCCAGCGGAAGCCGCGCAGCTGCAGGCAGTCGGCCACGTTGTGCGCGATGTAGTAGAGGTTCAGCATGGCGGCGGGGCTGAGGATGTCCACTTCCGGCTTCTTGGTCTTCTTCCCACGCGACTTGCCCCGGCTTTTCTTCTTCCCTTTAGCTGGCCGGGTTCCGCCTCCGCACTCGCCAGCGAACAGCCCCCGTTCCCGGGACCTCGCGGCGTTTGTTTGGGACCGGCTCCCGCGGCGCGGCGCGAGGAGGCCGAGTGGCTCAGGGGAGCCCGGCGGGGCAAGGGGGCCGTCAGCCACGCCGCCACGCCGGACTAGGGCACCCGCCGCACGGCTGTTTCCGGGATGCGCGTCTGCAGCAAGTGCGCCTCGCTGGCGCTGGAGAGCCGCGCGCACAAACGTCGGGAGGTGCGCGCCGCGGGGGCGGGGCCGCGCAGTGTTTACCCGTTGCCTGGACACCCAGGCCTGGCGCCAGGCCGTTGGCAGAGTCCGACCCGCCCACCCGGTCTGCGGAGCCCTCGCCCGCCTTCCTGGCAGACGCCGCCAGCCCTCCTGGATGCGCCGCTTTGGCCGGGTCATTGTCCCTCGCGCGACTCTGGATAAGGTTGCGCGCGCGTGGAACCCAGGCTCGGCGCAGCGGCGGCTGGCTCCGGGCCACACCCGGCCGGACGGGGCGAGGGTGGGGTGGGGGTGGGGTACCGTCTTGGCCTTGGAGTGGGCGGATTCAGCTGTGAGTGCGAGCTCTGCGACTCACCGAAGTATGTTCTTCCCATCATGTAACAACTCCACCAGCAGTGATTTTCTTTTAATAGCAGTTGAACATGATGGATTACACGGTGGGTCTATATGTGCATTAATTGACAATATTTCATTACCACTAAAGTGGAAATATTTTTGTATCTTTATATTTCAGTTGTCTTTTATCTTCTCAGATGAATCTCTTTATATGATGCACATTTTTTGGTCTAAGTTTTGCTTACCTGTTTGTATTAAGTATTAGTGTACATATTATGCATCTGTAATAATTGTTGTTGTTCAGTTGCTCAGTCATGTCCCACTCTTTGCGACCCCATGGACTGCAGCATGCCACACTTCCCTGTCCTTTACCATCTCCCGGAGCTTGCTCAAACTCATGTCCATTGAATCAGTGATACCATCCAACAATCTCATCCTCTGTCATTCCTTTCTCCTCCTGCCTTCAGTATTTCCCAGCATCAGGGTCTTTTCTAATGAGTCAGTTCTTCACATCAGGTGGCCAAAGGATTGGAGCTTCAGCTTCAGCATCAGTCCTTCCAATGAATATTCAGAATTGATCTCCTTTAGGATGAACTGGTTGGATATCCTTGCTGTCTAAGAGACTCTCAAGAGTCTTCTCCAACACCACAGTTCAAAAGCATCAATTCTTCGGTGCTCAGTCTTCTTTATGGTCCAACACTCATACTCACACATCACTACTGGAAAAAACAAAGTTTTGACTATACAACCTTCATTGGCAAAGTAATGTCTCTGCTTTTTGAGATGCTGTCTAGGTTTGTCATAGCTTCTCTTTCAAGGAACAAGCATCTTTTAATTTCATGGCTCTAATAATATAGTCCATAATAATATATTTTTTCACTGCCTTGAATTATCATTTCTGGGTAAATGTAATTGTTGACACTTTAATTAACCAAATGGATTTCTGTGATTATCATATTCAATTTAATACTGAACCAAGACAAAGGAAACACCTCAATCTTCTCTAACAGATTTTCTTTAAATTTTTAATCCTATAAGTTTTTAACTCATCCAGAATACCTTTTTAAGATTGTACAACTTGAAAATCTTGTTTGTTGCACACCATTTTTAATAAAAACAAGTTTTATAACATTAGTTAACAAATTCACATGAGGATGAACGTGATTATAATGGTTTTCACTGGTTTTGGAACATCGGCTTGTGAAGGGAGAATTAAAATCTACAGACTGAGATGATACAGTACTAAAAATTTGAGTTCCATCCACATTTTTGTACCATTCAGTCTTATTTTAAGGCTGAGATCCACTTTATCAAGTGCTGCCTGTTCACTGGAGGGAGACTCCTCAACTGCCAAATAAGAAAAGACCTCATCAGGCAATCCATAAAATACATTACAAATGACCATTAAACATTTAATAAACTATTCATCTAAATTTTATTCAAACACAGTGACAAAATAAATTAAAACATCATTTTTCACGATAAGATTTCTGATTGAAGGTTGGAACATCTAACATTCAGAAAGCAGGAAATCAGTCATTTGCACATCATTCATGAAGGGATGAGGAACAATAAAAATATCATGAAGAAAGATTTGTAAATATCTTATAAATGAAGCCTAGGAATGAACTTTAATCAGATAATTGATACAACATTACATTCAGCTAAATATTTAAGGCCAAAATAAAAGGCACTTGTCTATTTAAAAAGAAATATAAAATACAATATTTGTGTTAGTCAGGGTCCTCCATAACAACAGAACTAAAAGGATGTACTCTGTGTGTGTGTGTGTGTGTGTTTGTGTGTGTGTGTGTAAAGAGGGAAAGACAGAGACTGAAAGAGAGTCAGAAAGAGATGATTATAAGGAATCAGCACACACGATAGAAAACAATTGAATGGGAAAGAGTAGAGATCTCTGCAAGAAAATTAGAGATACCAAGGGACTGTTTCAAGCAAAGATGGGCACAATAAAGGACAGAAATGATATGGATCTAACAGAAGCCGAAGATATTAAGAGGAGGTGGCAAGAATACACAGGAAAACTACACAAAGAGAGTTTAATGACCCAGATAACCATGATGGTGTGATCACTCATCTAGAGCCAGACATGCAGGAATGCAAAGTCAAGTGGACCTTAGGAAGCATCACTATGAACAAAGTTAGTGGAGGTGATGGAATTCCAGCTGAGCTGTTTCAAATCCTAAAAGATGATGGTGTGAAAGTGCTGCACTCAATATGCCAGCAAATTTGGAAAACTCAGCAGTGGCTACAGGACTGGAAAAGGTCAGTTTCATCCCAATCCCAAAGAAAGGTAATGCCAAAGAATGTTCAAAGTCCTGCACAATTGCACTCATCTCACATACTAGCAAAGGAATGCTTAAGATTCTCCAAGCCAGGCTTCAACAGTACATGAACCGTGAACTTCCAGAAGTTCAAGCTGGATTTAGAAAAGGCAGAGGAACTAGAGATCAAATTGCCAACATCTGTTGGATCATCAAAAAAGCAAGAGAGTTCCAGAAAAACATCTACTTCTGCTTTATTGACTATGCCAATGCCTTTCACTGTGTGGATCACAACAAAATGTGGGAAATTCTTCAAGAGATGGGAATACCAGACCACCTTACCTGCCTCCTGAGAAATCTGTATGCCGGTCAAGAAGCAACAGTTAGAACAAGACATGGAATGACAGACTGGTTCAAGATTGGGAAAGGAGTGTATCAAGGCTGTATATTGTCACCCTGCTTATTTAACTTATAGGCAGAGTACATCATGTGAAATGCCGGGCTGGATGAAGCACAAGACGGAATCACGAAATTCTAACCCCTTGCAAATCCACAGATGTTTCCTTTACACCCATTTTTGATTCTGTGTTCACCCTAGTGGATTAGAAGGGATTCATACACCTTGAGTAAGCACATACCTTTCATACTGACTTTGGTTCTATATCTTAGCTCATGTCTTTTTATGAGTCCATATTCTGCTTATGGGACTCGGCTTCTAGATATTGGCTCATATTTCCACATACAGACGGTGGTGAATTGACTGAAAAAAAGGCCACAGCAATTCCTCCTGTCCCTGGATGTGCAGCCCTTTGCTTATATGTTGAAGGCAGAGCTGAGGGTTTGCTGATGGAGTTAGTGAGGGACATGAAAGAAACAGAGGAGTCAAGGAGTATGCTAAGGTGCTTGATCTAAGCAATATGAAGAAAAGCATGCCCCTTTCATTGATCAAGGGGCAGAAGACAGAGGAAGAACAGATTTGTGAGGGGGGAAAAAGCAGTCGGTGAGTAAAACCTTCATGAATACTAAATCTGTTGAATTTTCAAAAAGTAAACTTATAAAATCCATAAGATTCCCTTCAATGCTCCAATATATATGCAATATATTAAATAAGAGTTCAACTGAAATCCCAACTCCAAACAGATTAGTTAATCACATATTTTCATTTGGAGCAGGAGTCAGCTCCTCTTCGGGTTAAACTGTTGTGGGTATCCAGAGAGGTTGACCTGTAGCACTGTCTCATAAAAACACGTGATTTGTGAAAGAAATTGGAGTGTCATTGCCTAAGTAAACAGTGAATTATGTGCATATATGTGATGATGATGTCAGAGAAAGTAACTTAATGATCAGAGTGGTAATTTGATATTCTTGTATTGGTAATAGACTAAAGGCAAATGCCTCTGGAAACATCAGATAACCCTTCATTTTTATCTTTTCAAAGCTGATGCAGATGACCAGATGATTATTTTCTTTTAGTCTTTTGGTATAGAAAATTAAGAGCTTTCTTAGCCTTAAACCTTCCTTACATTTCCTGGTCACAGTGCACTCTTTGAACATGCTGCTCTGGATTTTGCTGGTTAGTATTTGGGGCTTTCCCATTCATGTTTCAGGCAACATCTGCAGCATAGGTGCTAATCATCTGTCTGAGAGATGCATGAAGAAGCAGGAAAATGTATTCACAGAACCTCATGCAAGCCAAGGAACTCAGAAGGACACGTGAGTGGCGGGCTCGGCAGGGAGGGTGGGCAACTGGGTGACTCCACTGCTCCAAGTGCAGCGGGCCTCGCCCTCATCCTGCAAGACCCAGAGTCCTGGGCTCCTGCCCTGGCCCTTGGCCCCTGGCCTTCACCCACCACCCGCCTGGGGAAACCGAGGCCCCGCCCCTCGTTTCTGATCCCGCCTCCTTATCGCCGTTAGCCCCGCCCCACCTAACCCTCTTCTCCCGCCCCTACAGCCCTAGCTCCGCTTTGATATTGCGCCTGCGCACTAGCAACCATTTGCTCTTGAGGGCGGGGCCTGCGCAAGCGCCAGTACAGCTCGCGGCCCCGCCCACCCCTGCCCTCGGCCCGCCTCCTTGGAAAGCGCTTCCCTGAGGCTTGGCTTGTCAATGAAGATCAGAATGGTAGTGGGATTTCATGGTGTTTGGCAGTCTAAATGCAAATGCCTCAGGTAAAATCATACCCACTGACCTGAAATAGGGTCAATGGGAGATATCATCCAGTCTTATGTGAGACTCATTCTGTAGCAGGAGAGGATAATCAAAGGGATATAAAGTTCCAGGTGCAATTAGAGGAAAAGAGAAGTGATCTGAGCTCTGCATCCTGCTGGACATCTCGGGCAGAAAATGAGACATTGAAGCTTGGGGCCCCCTAGACTGAATGGTAAGAACAGAATTGCTGCCTCCTTCAGCCCAAGACCTTATGAAATGCCAGGAGGAGAAGGACACTCAGCCACCCTGAAGATCTACAGGCAGAACAGACTGCCAGTCTTACACTCCTTTCCTGTGGGGGTAGGCAGGGGATTACTGACCACAGTCTATTTGCTGGGAAAAAAAACCCAAAACTT